AACAAACACCTTGTGTGACCAGCCGCCACCTGGATTTAACTGCATTCACCACAATTCTTTGGGCCCGGCCATCCAGCCAGTGTTTTACCCAATGAAGACTGCACCCATCCAAGCCATGGGCAGCCAGTTTCTCCAGGAGATACTGTGGGGAATGGTATCAAAGGCTTTACTAAAATCCAGGTAAACAAAACCCACAGCCTTTCCCTCATCCACTCAGCAGGTCACCTTGTCATAGAAGATGAGGTTAGTCAAGCAGGACCAGCCTTTCAAAAACCCTTGGTGACCGGGTCTGATCACCTGGTTGTCCTGTACATGCCACATGATGGCACTCAAGATGATCTGCTCCATAACCTTCCCTGGCACCAAGGTCAGACTGACAGGTCTGTCATACAAATTATAACCAACTCAAATCCAAAGTTCATCATATTGTTTCTTGTGTCCTCACTGAGTAACAGAAACTTAAAGAGGCTCTAACAAAAAACACCAAATGATGCTTTCTACCCATATCTACTATTCTTCCCCACCTAAATATGAGTGCTTCTGCTAAGAAATTTCATTGCCCACATAATCACACCTAAGATACTTTGGGAGACTCTTAAGACTAATATTTTTTATTGACAAAAAGAACAAATGTGTGAGCAAGGAGCAACCACCAAAGAGTGGCCACATTTGTTGACAAACTAAGCAGTGGTGGTTGATCTCCCCAGCTTAGCTGCAGTGCAATCTTGCAGCCCAATTTCTGCAGCCTAGGAGAGTTCCTTCCCAGCTTCAGGAGGGAGGGAGCAGCATTTACTTGGCTCCAGGACTGCTCTGGGAAAGATCAGCAATAAGCATCTCAGTTATCTCTACAATGCTTCAGGAGCTGGAGGCTTTTGCATGCATGGCAGAATTTCCCTTTCCTTGGATTCCTTAAGGGACCTTAAAAAGCCTTTGAAATATGATACATTGCACCCTACTGATAAAGAAGGTTAATACTTTCGCTTCTTTTCTCACAAACAAGATCCCAGTTTTATAATCTGCTATTATTTATCATTTGCTCGAAGCTGATAACATTTTTTTCAGGCAGGAGAAAGTGAACTACCCTGTTAAAAGAAGAGCTATAGGGTGCTTTTGTCCAAGAAATCTCTGAAATGGGAATATGTATTTTTTTTTCCAGTATGCTGTATTGAAAGTTGTACAATGCACCTGCTGCTCCACAGAACAGCTTCTTTAGATTTTTATCCAGCTATTTTTTTATCAGCTATGAAAGTATGATGGTGGCATATAAGCACATGGTGGTTGGCTGGTGTCAATGAGGATTGCGGTTGCAGCAAACCTGTTTACAGGAGCCTTGGACACTGGTTGCAAAACTCACCTCCTTAAGCAGATTTTAAGCACTTCAAAGAGCTGTCAGGCTTTAGAGCTCAGGCTCAGGTTCAGCTCCCTGGCTTTGAAATCTGGATGCACCCCAACTGCTTGAAAGCATGCAGATTTCCAAACCATTTCTAATTTCAACATCAAACTAAGAGAGGCCAAATTGTCTTAGAAAATATTTTAGGCCTGTTCAAAATAAGGCTTTGAAATCCTTTCAGCGAAGAGCTCTGAAAGGCTTTTGAGTAACTGGGTGCATGTTTTCCAAGTGGATTTTCACGCGGTTCCACTACAAGGTAATTCAATTCCTCTTCCTGCCTGAAAAACCCACAATAAGTCCACATAATGTGAAGGATAATTAGAGAGATGGAAGCCACCGATTAGATTATCCCTTCCACCCACCTGCCGGTGCAGGATTGTTCCCTACAACATTCACTGAAATCCAATACATCCAAGGTGTTGCAACTTAGCCATCAACCTGTGTCCTGCTTCCAGTGTGCTCTGACCGAGCACCAGACCTCGGGGAGAGGGAGGGGAGAACAGACTTTTTCTCCATATGATGCAAAACTACCCATTTGTTGTAATGAAGATGCAGCAACCTGATTTTTTTAATCCAGTCACAGGAAAAAAGGGGTTGTTAATGGGGTCCTCTCCCTTCTGCATCCCTTTGGAGGCAGAAAGTGGGGCTCGAGATCAAGGTCTTCTGGAGAGTGGTGAGAGGGGTCTGCACTGTAGGATTCCACAGACTGATCCCTGCACCCATGATCACGGTCAGAAAAAGGCCAAAGAGGGAATAAGCAGGTGGTGAAAGAAGAGAAAAAAGAAAACTGACTGAGGTACCACCACTAAAACCCCCTTTTTGATTGCATTTGCCATAAAAGACCTTAAAAGTTAGCCTAGTAGGAAACAGTGGGATCTCCTCACCCAGAAAATTTTGACGTGCACAAGGATAAAATGTTAAGATGCTTCCAGGACTTGACTTATCAAATAAAACCTTGTTTGGGCTATTTCCATGTGGGCATTTTTACATCTCTGTGGAGTAAGTGTGAACCACGTTTTTCCCTGCTCTCTCTAACAGCATCCCTTTTGTGTTCTTTCTCCCTCGTCTGTGCCATTAGGCATTATCTCTGCAACCCCACAGCCTGCTGGAACAGAGCCACCACCTTTAAAATATATTTAAATGTCATCTCCATGAGAGAAAAATTGAGAAGGGAAATATAGGCATCCATGGGAGGAGGAGGTTAGGGAAGCTCCCCTCCTTTTCCCTGCTCCTGCCATCCCCCTCCCCAGGAAGAAAGGAGAAATCTGCAAACACATTGTATGATTTTACACTTATTTCCTCTGCTAATTTAATGCAGAGAAGGGGCTGCTATGGCTTGTGTGACACATACGCCAGGCATCTTCTCAAGAGCTGGCAGATGGATTGCGATGAAAATGAATTTAACCACACGTGACCTTAAAACTTGGCCAGAGAGATGCCTGCAGCTCAACACAGAACTATCTCGCCCTCCTCCCCTCCCACAGCCATCACCATCTTGCACATCAAAAAATGAGGAGTATTTCTTGACAGGTTCCTTTTGAAAGTCATCCCCTCCTGCTTTAATATCTCAGTCCTCTAAATCCTCACTCTATCTCACTTCCCATGGACCCTCGACTGGCAGCCTCACAATCACTGTTGTCACCCAGCTCGGGATAAACGGACGCCTGCAATACACATTTTCCTATCCTTGGAAGAAAATAAAATTCAAGACCTTGTCATATATTTCATCCCTAGGTCGGATAAAATGGCAAAATCTGCTGTAAAATCAAATTAGATGAAGGAGTCTTGCATCCCTCCCCCTTAAAAGGATTTCAGCTCATGGAAAATGTTTGACTTGGCAAATCTGTCATGAATGTAGTTTGGTTTTGACACAACCTGTTGATTTCACACAATTCCTATAAAACTAATTTCCAAATAACCTCCACAATTTTTTCCTTGCAAAACAGAGCAGCACAACAGAGAGATCTTTTTCGAGACACAGATCTGTCAAAATCCATACAAATCCACAAAACAACATTGCTTCCACTCAAATGACATTTTCCCTCAGAAACAAGTTTCAACACATGCTTTTTCTCTACAATCCTCTGTGACCCATAAACATCTTCATTTGCTAATTACTGCTCCAGCTCTGTACTGGTGATGAACATCAGCCTGGTGTTCCCACCAGAGAGCTGCCAAGTAAACACTGTTGTAGAGCAGTCCAGCCATTGGTTTTGATCCTGATGGAGGGTATAAAACTGTAACTGTCACAAAACACCAGAGGACAAAAAGGACATGCTCGTCTCACTCAACTTTTGCCATCTCCCGATCAGCTCCACCTTCTAAATGCTGTTGTATCGTTTACAGAATAGTGGTTACAGATTAAATGGCCTTTGCCAACAGGTATCTTCTGAAGTCCCCTCACCAAATACTTTGTATGAATCAAAGATATCCAAACGATATATGTTCTGCATTTGGGTCATTTACTTCATTTCTATTACAGCAAAACTTTCTCTCCATTGAACTGAAGTGGTCCAAATACCACTATGTCCAACAAGAATTAAAATTAAGATAACCCACAAAAGGGCAGGTGCATGCTCCTTGCAACTTGACTGTGTGAATCTCCACCACAAAGTAACACAAGAAGCACAGAAGAATTATGAGAACTCCCTGAAGAAAGTCAAGCCAGCAGATAGCAGCTGATGAGACAACTTGGAATCCAGGCATTGCAGCTACCTGACAAAAACTCTGAAAGTTCTGCAAAATTCTGGAATAGGATCATAGAGTCATAGAATGGTTTGGATTGGAAGGGACCTTAAAGATCATCTAGTTCCAACCCCCCTGCCATATTACACAATTATTATTACACAATTATTTGGCCATCAAAGAGTCAGCTGCCCACCTAGAGATGCCCATACTGCTGAAATGTGGAATTGGTTTGTCTTGGAGGAAATGAAACAGATGATGGGAAGAGGCAGGCATAGCTGCTTCCTCTGAAAGGGGAGAGCACTATGCCCAGTGGAAGCTGATGGCCTTAAATCACTAACATTAATGAGATGAAGAAATTCCTCTGCAGAGACATAAGCAATACAAACACACCTGAATTTTTAAAATGCAGTGGCAGAAAAATCTGAAAAATTCACCTTTGTGGTTTTCAGGATCCTGCCTGGGAAGACTGGTCTTAAATAACACTTGTCTACCTTAAGGAGCCTTGCAATAGAGTAACAACTCATCACATCAACACTGACTGCAAGAAATGACTTAGAGAGACTCAACAGAGTATAAAAAGCTGCTTGAAGATTACAAGTTCCTGTAGAGATGAGCTGCCTGAGGGATTTCAAAAGGTATCTTGTGCCTGTCTGTATAATGCAAAAAGTGTCTGCAGCCCTGTCTTGGCCACAGCCACCACTAATAGATTTAGGCACCTGTAGACTATGCTGTATGCTAGAGATGCCCTTTATTGCATGAATGTGCTACCTTCCCAAATATTTGCCTCTTATTCATGCATGCTTCCCTCTTCCCCTTCCCTCTTTGGGACTCAGTGTAGTCAACACTCACTGCAGAAACCCTCACCTGTCCTGGGTCCCGTGCGACCCCACTTTTTCATTCTTCATGCAGAAATCGGGCGAGCTCTGCAGGTAAATCAGCTCTGTCTCTTTAACCGGCCTGATATCAATATCCTTTGGCACGAGGTATTTGCGTGTGCCCATGGGCCGGTGAACAACCTTCGTGGCTGACAAATACTTGTTTTTGAGGTCCAATGCAATGTCTCGCAGCTCTTGAAGGCCTTTCCAACAGGTCTTGATAGAGCATGACCCAGAAACTCCATGGCACTTACATTTCATTTCAAGAGAGGCTTTCAAGACCTGCAAAAAGGAATGCAGGAGTTAGGAAATGCCCTTCTCTTACCTCCAAACATCCCAGAAGCTTACTAAAGAAGGCACTTTCTCAGCAGGGACTGCTGTAGAAAAAAAAAAAAAAATGCTGCTCTGATTTCTGCACAGTCACTCTGGAGTAGCTACTGTGCAAAGGGAATGAGACCCCACAGCCTCTCGGTGATCACTATCAGCCCAGGACTGCTTTCACCAAGGCAGCTTTGCAGCCAGCAGACAGAAAAGTATTTAGAATTTTGATCAGATATCTACATAAGGCTGCATTTCCACACTCTAAATTCCTAAGGAGCTGAAAATCAAAGTAATCCATAAATACATAATTAACATCCATTTCTGCCCCCAGCAACTTTGGGTAACAGAGCCGTCAAGGCTCTGATGAATTCAGGGCACCCTCACCCTGCCTTTCTGCTGGCCGTGGGGCTACAAGAGCCTTTTACTGTTGTTCTGCACTAATCTCATTGCTGTGGCCCATGGCAGGATGCTGCCAGGAAAAGGGAAATGTACCAGCCATGGCAACACTATGTCCCAAACAAAAAATTGCCCATTGCAATTAAAACAAAAATGTAAGACATTATAAAAATAAAAAAGCAGATAGAGTGGGATTGGTAGAGAAAAATACTCAGAGGAGGCAACTTCAGCATGGTTATGCTCTGCAAAGGTAAATTCAGCCCATAGCTACACAGCAAGCTGCCAATGAGCTCAAGACGCTCCAAAATTTATCTTCTCCAGCATCTAAGCACAGGCAGACCTGGAAGGACCAAGCTGCATGGTAGGACCAGCCTAGGGAACTGCAGCAGGCCCAGAGATGGGTGCAGGGGTCAGCTTTACAGTCCCCCACCCATTTCTCCAGCTGCATGGAGAGCTGTGATGGGGATTTGCTCCTTGCACACCAAGGACTGTGCATGGTAAGCGTTATCCCTCCACTGGATGCAAGCTGTTAAAAGCAGCTTCTGCCAGATATGGGAATAATCACCAGCAAAGCAGTGTGAAAAGGAAAAATGGGATGGCTGGGAGGCAGCTGCTGCTGAATGCATCTGGCAGATGATAATCCACATTTGCACAGCACTTCGCCTGTGCAACGCCCTTGGCAGAGCACAAGGAGACCCATCCCCACCACATGTCCTGGGGTAAGCAAGCCAGAGCCATCCTTGGCTGTGGAAAGGGTGGCAATGAGACATCCCACCCACGGTTATACAGGGCTGATAATAGCATTCAGGACCTCCTGAGTCCCAGCGTGAGTTATCCACAGTCTTCAGCAGGCCAAAGGAGTTCAGAGCAATCTGGGAGAAACCTGCTCCTTTTGCTAGCTGACAGAGACACTGAACCTCACAGAGCGACCGACCACTACAGAGGATTGTACAATTACAATAACTCTCGTGGATTTGTTACCTGTCTCCCTACTTCACTGTTGTGCAGATGCATCAGTTTATTGGCTTGTGATCCTGATTTTTTCATCTTCATGGGAGCATCTGAAAATTTGGACCCCATGATAAGACCATAGTTGAGGTTGTCTGCACATCCTCCCCATCGATACCCAGGTCCAGGTGTCTCACCTGGGATGGGACCACAGGAACAGCCAGGGAGGTCCCCGGTGGTGCAGGCTCTGGCAATGGTGTGGCTGATGGCAGCAGCAGAAAGGGCATAAACAAATGCTGACTCCCTTGTGCCTGGAAGAGACAAGAACTCCAATTCAGCCTTCTGGGACGGCTAAAAGTTCCCCCCAAAAGAGGTCCACACAATCTGTGCCCCATGGAGCAGCAAACACAGCAGCTCACTGCAGCTGAGACCTCCCATGGCATCACCAGCTTGGAACACATCTCCTAAGTGAGCTTTTCAACACGAGGCAACATCCCAGCAGGGCAAGGAGGCACATGGACTTAGGCAGCTTGTCCATCATGGTGTGATCTGCTCTAGGAGCATATGAAGAACCTCCTCCATGGCCTCTCCTGCCTTCTTTTGGCCCTGTGCTGGATGTTGCTTGCCAAAAGGTCATGGAGCTGGCATGCACGGAGCTGGGGGAGGTGGTAGGAGGCCACAGAGCTGCAGCACGAGTGTGCAAAGATGCTCTGACCAATGAAACCTGACTGCAGCATAGCGTGTAGCATGTGCTGCTTGATAAATCTGCAGCTCCATGGCTGTGAGCAAGTGCACCGTGACTCCTAATGAGACAAGCAGATCAGATTGGTGGCATGCTTTGTAAGAGCTGTGGAAGACCAGGTAGGTCTTGGACTCGAGAGGTCTTGGGCATGACTGGCACCATACGATGAACATGGTCTCAGAGAACAGGACAAGTAGGATATGTAGTCCCTCCATGTCCCCCCACCAGCAAGACCCTTCCCAGCCCCAGAACGCATGCACTGGCTAACTTCTACTCACTCGTGTCCCCGACTGAGCCAGCACTGGTGTTTACCTCTTTCTAAGTCCAGCAGGTAGTTAGGAGCCAGCTCAATGGAAGAGCAGTTCCACCGCATGTCTGAGAAGGTTTTACGGCAGGTCTTTATCACTTCCCGTGCTGCCTGGATGATGGTCTGCATTAGCTCCAGGTTGCTGCGGCACAGCTGCACCTGGGAAACCACCAAGCCTTCGAGCTGCTTGCAGTGCTGGGTTTGATTCAGAGCCAAAGCCGAAGGAGTCTTGGACAGAGCTCTGAGGAGACAAGCACATGTGAAAAGGCATTAAAACCCATCAAAAAAAGAAGTTAATCTTTAGGTCTGTATTAATTTCTCCACCACCAAATGCTTTAGTATCCAGCAAATGCTTTAGCCTCTGTTCATCTGAATTTTAGCTACCTGTAAATAGGTGCTTAGTTTAAGCTAGTGAGAAGGATGGGCAACTATGAAGAGTGATTTATCTCATCTAAAGCAGCTGTTTAAGGTAAGTGGGAAGAAACACCCTCTAGAAGTGAACATTTCTCTCCATCATCTATGGGAGTCAAGGCAAAGGTCCTGTGGCATATGCCAAGATGACTGAACATGTAAATCCTTATGGGAAGGTTTTTTGCTGAAGAATGAAGAGGATGGACCTCCCAATAGAGTGAAAAATGACCCATCAGTTCCACAATAACAGAAAGCTGTGTCTTCCAAGACTGTGGTATTCAGGGGGGAAAAAAAAAAAAGTGAAGTTGGTGTTATCAGTGTTTTGCATTCAGCATCTGTCTCACACACTCTCTAAGGATTATGTTAAATGTCATGTAATTAATTATGGAGAAAATCCCCTGCAAGGCCTAGGGAGAAGCCACCAAGTTTGCAAAACAGATGCTTTCCCTTAAAGTTAATGCCAAGGGCCTCCACCAATTCCATTTCTGCTGCACGCAGATAAGTCTGTTTCGTCTTCAAAAATGTAGTGCGGCAGCACAGTGAGAAGACATGCAGAGAAAGTACCATGGTCAAAACTGAGAAGGGATCCACTAGCACCAGCACATATGTCACCATAGAAGAAGCCAACAACACCAGAAGGACCCTACTGGGTCTTCTAGTGTGCAATTGCTGTGTTTCCAGGTTAAAAAAAAAAGAAAGAAAAAAGAAAGTGATGGCATGTATCCTGCCGGGCTGTGCTCTTCTTCCCCAAGCACCCACAGCGATCAGCAGAAGCCTGGTGTGTAACTCTCTTTGTATCTTTATGACCTGCTTAGGGCAGTCATAAATGTTATTCATTCCCATAAAATTACTTTCTAGCTGGCTGCATCAGTAACTGGCATCTGATCCTGGCAACAACACTACCTTAACACATAGTTCCTTCTCTCCTTGTTAAATGTGTTGCCTTTCAGTTTCATCCTAAGCCATCTTGGTTAGCTTGGCTTATTAGCAGACACATTTCTGGGAGCATTTCACTTTATTACTGTAACATCCACGTCCCTCAGAAGTTAAATGAGAGGGAAATGGAGCTAAAATTCAGCCCTAACCAAGATTGGGGGTATGAGCTCTGATCTCTGGTTTTCAGGAAAACACATCTATGTTCCACCAGCTCCCTCAAGGTTGGCTTGAACCAGCTGCTGTGTATGTTGGAGCTCTCTCTGGGCTTCACATAACTGCTAACCTTTCCAGCAGGGAAAAGCTAGGATCTTTGCTAGGGCTGAGTAAGTCTGCACTGACAAATTCTCGAGCGGCTGGAGTTTGGCATTTCTGGCACTAGAAAATCAGTGGCAAACTTGGAAGGGAAACCACTACTCTGCTAGTTATGTAAATATATACATCATACATATATTTAAAGAAGTCCATGAAATATACAGCGAAACAGCAGTTTTGGCCAGTGAATTTCAAAGGAAAGGAAAAAGTGGACTATTTAGTTGTCAGAAATTCTGCACTGCAGTTCATCTCTGTCCCTTGCACCCTGTTGTTCATGTAACACTACCTGTCTGGACCTCCAGAAGGCAACTTTTCCTGCCTTAGATGTGAACGAATGCTGGACCTGAGCTGGTGGAGACAAAACATGTTGGTGATATTCTGGGTGCTCAGGTATCTCAGATACATCATGCCCTAGAGGCATGAGTCTGTGGACAGTATGAATGTCACCTGGCTGCAAACCTCTAAAGTCTGGACCTCATGGTAGTCCTTCAGGGTCCTTCTTTAGCCCATGGAAAGAAAAAGCCATGTCTAGGGAGTAATTAGCCTGACGTGCTTTTGAGATCTACAGTAGGATAACATCATGCCCTAAATGTGCTCATTTTCTGCACTGCCTATAGAGGGAAGCCAGGCATCAAGCTCGGACACAGCCATCTGGACTGTATAAGCACAGAGCTGGGTGAGATGTGTCCAACCCCTAGCACCTGGCACCAGAAACTTGTGAAAACTTATCCAAGAAAGCCTATCAGCAACTCTCAGGAATGGGCTGAAATGCAAATCAGGCAAGAAGCCAAAGCAGCTCATCACTAAGAGAGTAAAAATGATAAATACTCCAGCACAGTATGTCCCGGCAGCAAAATAAGCAGGCAGGGTGAGGCAGATGAAATGAGAGCTTCACAGCCTGACCCTCAGGCACATGAGGAATGCTGAAGGTTTCTCAGAGGTGCTGTACTATGGGGCACCACCTCGGTTTTCTAATCAGAGGTGCCAAGTGACACTTTAGAGGCCTTGGGATGTTTCACATGGATGCATATATCTGCTAGGTCCTGCATCACTTTTTTTAATCCTGTATAGTGCTCTTCAGCATCTTTAAAGGACCTGGAAGCCTGCACTGAGGCACCTGCATCTCACCATTACAGACAAGTCAGGAAGAGCAGAAATAATCACCTACAAGCTGGGATGAGAGATGAATTCAGACTGAAACTCATCCCCATTGTGGAAAAAGGGGATGTGATATGACGAGATCATCGTATTACAGATGGCCTGAAATTATCACCATTAGAGAAGCATATTTATAATGCAACAAGAAAGAAGTTTGCTTCATGTAAGAGGGAAAAAATATCTGCCAGATGGTCAAGAGAAGAAGGACCGTGGCCCCACTGGGGAGAACCCAGTAAATGGCAGCAATGGCTGTTTCTTGTCGAATGAGCCGAGCTCCAGGGACCCCGCCAAGAATAAAATGCAAGATGAAGGAAGGTGTTTTCTGAACATCTCCCAGACCTGAACTTCATGCCTTTGCTTATGAGAACCTATAATTGGAAACATCTCCAAAAGTCGAGAGGAAAAAGTAAAGGGTAATGGAGATGGAAAAGAAAACTCAGTTACTGGAGTCACTTGCCGAGACCAAAAAGTGCATTTATAAATCACGGATTGGGAGTGTGAGAGGCCTATTAGGTCATCTAGTCCATGCCCTGACAGCCCCAGTTTGCACAGTCTCAGTCCTACATTCAGAAATGTCTTCTCCACCTGTTGTCGTTTTACATCCTCCCCATGGAACGGCACCAACCCTCCTTGTTCCCCAAATTCTGGCAGCACCAGGGAGGGATGCCTGCAAAGGACGTTGCTGAGGAACAAAGTCCATTTGTGTGGCAGTACAAAGGAAATCATCTTCCCTCAGAGGAGTCTTGCCCACGGTGGGATTCGGTGGTGGGTCTCTATCCCATCTCCAACTGGTCTCCATTGACCACCAGCACTGGGAGGGAAACTGGAGTCAAAGGGGCACAGCCAGCCTAAATAAAGCAGCCCTCAGGGGCATAGTTAGAGCATTAGAACAGTCTTAATTAAGGGAAGCAGGACTTCCCTTATTCTGGGAAACAAATCCCTGATAAATGTCTTTCTTTGGACTCACACCCTTCATCTGAGAAACAGCACATGGGGATGTTACCTGCCACCACCCTATAAATGTTGCTTTTCACTCCTCCTGTTGACGTCATGCTCTCCTCCCTTGACTCTGCCCCATCCTTCATTCTCCAGAAAGCTGAGGACAACTGAGGGGTGGTTGTTTTTTCTTTTTTTTTTTTTTTAAATATACATGTTTGACCCATCCCCTTAAATAAACAGGCCCCAAACCAAACATCTCCTGCTTTATATATAGCATAGCAGGGCTTTCAGTTGAAGTTATGGATACTGACAGAAAACCATAAACGTAATTACAGAGGAAATATGATGCATGGATGGATCATGACTTTCGTTTACTCTTTTAATTATCTCAGGCAGTTAATAAATTCATTTGAAAACATGAATGCTCTACAGTGTTAGATCCTTTGAGAGGTATGGGCCCATTCCTGCAAATCTGGGCTCCATGAGAAGACTATTCATAGGAGCAGCATCTTGGAGAATTATCTTCATGCCTGAGCAGACACCAATGAAAGCCATACATAATTTGGTTTACAAGGGACACTGTGCCTAAGATACTGCTCCTGGTCAAGCCAAAGAGAGAAAAAACTCCTTGAGTTGAGCAATGCAGCACGGGTGCCCTTTAAAACACCCTTAAAGGGTGAAAGGATCTTCCCTCTTCCTGATGTGGGCTCTCTCTAGATGGCATCTCCCCATCCTCCCTAGTATGATGTGACCAAAGAAGGTCTCACAGAGGGGCTGTTGGTGAAACCATGAACTTCTGCTCCAAATTGTCTGCTTTGCTTTCCTAGAAGGCACTCTCGTTTTTATTCCTAGTCTTAAATCCCTTAATCTCCCAGGGATTTGAGGGAAACAAAAAGATATAGACAAAATTACATGGGTGTGGAGAGTAAAGGATGCAGTAAGTTTTATTAAAGAAAGGCAGTGATTGGGGTTGGGTTTGCATTCAATCTTGTTGAAGGTTTTTAATCTGCAGGAGCCTTGTTTTCTCAGGTTCTCAACTGGAAAAAGAAGCTTGCAGAAAGAACTGTTACTAAAACCTTATCTAAGATCCTGGTAGTCAGAGGCAGACCATGGCCCTGCCACCCTGGCCTGTATCAGTCCTGATCTGGGGACCACACTGGGAAAGCCACCACATCACCTGGTAAGTGCATCCAGTGGTTCTGCAAAGCTTTTCAGACAGAGAAACAGGATTTATACAGTTTAAAAACAAGAAAAAGAAATAAAGAGAAGGAAGAGGGAGAGGAATGGGAGGAAAAAACCTAAGCCTGAAGTAAAAGCTTAAAATAAGAGCTGCTGTCAGATACAGTGCCAAATCCAGCGCTGGCAGTAGTGGGCACAAGGCCATTGACTTCCAGCCCAAGCTCGACTGAAGTGGATGCCAGCGGTGAGTTGGCTCACTGAGCCCCAAGGAAGGCCATGGAGCTTTGTCAAGTTTTCCCGAGCTGCCTACGGAGCGAAGAGTAAACTTCAAAGCTGTTGTCCCCCCCTTCCTCACCCCTAGCCTGTTTCCCTCCCGCCATCCCCATCCTGCAGTCCTTTCACCGCAGCTCATCTAGCAGACCCCTTGCCAGGCAGACGGTCTCCTTGCAGGCGCCCATGCCCCAATGTCCCAGCTCCTCCTCTGGCTGAAGGAGAGAAGCAGGCACTGCTGGGAAGCACAAAATCTTTCCATTTTCTCCCCTGTTTTCTGCTAGCTGCAGAAGGGCTGTGGTGCTGCCCCAGGGACATCCCAGGCTCACTGAAATGCACGGCTGAGCCACCTTTTGCTCCTGCAAGGCTGTGATTTAACCATGGGAATTGTGCAGCAAAGCTGACTTTGCAGCTGGGATCAGTGCTCAGATCGGGATGGCTCCAGGGGGCATGGGGCATGTCCAAGCTACCACAACAGGGCAGGCAGGGAATTCCCAAAGTGGCAAAGCTCCACCTAAAAATTATGGGATTCCTAATGCCACCACTGGCTCTCATATGCTGATCCTGCAAGCCACACAAAAAACACCACTCCACACTTGTGTTGAAGTTGACAACACAGAGGGACCTGTGCCTTGGGACCTGGGCAGAGGTGATGCTAACCCCCAGGGAGGCAGAAGTGCCTGGAAAATTCACTCTGTGCCTGGACATCCCAACATCTGCAGACCTCTGCAGCATGCACATCTGGCTGCAGCTCCCTCTAGCGCTCATCTATTTTTCAGCTCTACCTAAACACGTTGCTTCAGCAACCTGCTTGGCCAAACCCAAGCCCCCCTAGGAAAGCTAAAGGGGGTGCAAAAGGAGAAGGGTAAGGAGATAGAGGTCCAACATGCATTGGCCCCAAGATGTCTCTCATTGAAACCGATGGCTGCCTGCCTCCCCAGCCGCTGTGATGCAAAACAAACGGCAAGGACCACAAAGTGATGCAAAAATGCCCTGCTCTAAGGATGGGAAAGTGTTTGCAAAAAGCAGCATGAAAAAAAAAGAAAGACTCAGGGGCTCAGAGGCATTGAATGGAAGGGCCACTTCTCCACAGCAGCCCTGATCCTGCAAAGATCTGCCCATACCCTGACTTTACACCCGAGCAGCTCCCTGGAGCTCAGATGGAAGAGACCAAACTAAGAAGTTTCTCCAGCAGCAAGAGCAGGTTTACAAGATGCTGACCGTCCACACACCGTGCTGGATGCTCAGCGGTGCACACCTCCACAGCAGGGTAAGGCATAGTGCCGATTTACAACAGCTGAGGACCACAAAACTCATGAAAATAAGCCAAATAATATAAAACAAATAGCTCCTCCTATCTTCTCCCTGCTTTTACTAATTTACAGGGGATATTGATGTTACAGAGAAGTCCTAAATAGCCGAAAAGCGTGGTTTTCTTCTCCCCTTCCATTACATCATGCTCCGAATCAAAATTGAATTTCCTATCGTCTTCCATATCAGTCGGTCCCTGTTCTTCAGGCTTGCAAACCCAGCCAGCCAGGCTGGTAAAACCCACCTCCTTATCTTCCCCCTCCCTCCCAAATCCTCTTTGAAGCTCGACTCTGGCACTGTGCCTACAACAACGGCGCAGCAAGTAGACTGCTGAGACAAACCCACGACCGAAAACATCTCGTAGCACTTTCTTCCCTTTTCATCCCATGCTTTCCCCCCCCCCTCTCCATCCACGAGCATGAAAGGGAAGGGGAAAGGTTTGGTTGTACAGCATTCAGCATGTGAGTCGAGTGATGGGATTGCAACACCAAGGTATTTCTTGGTATTCGGTAGCATTGATCTCTATTCACCATAAGTTTATCCATGTGATTTCCATGGACAGTCCCCTAGCCCCAAGGATGGCAAGGGAAAAGAGAGTCATGAGGGAAATTGTCCCATGTTTCCATAGAAAAAGAAGAGTGGGGAAGGGAGGATGAACAGCAAATGAAAACAAAAACACACCACAATTTCATGAAATCCCAGCTGGCAGCATCCCAGTTGTGAAGTGCCCTGGGACAGGGAGTGCAAGTTTCTGCCAGGTTTTAAGCAGGTGTGAGGGGAGCCCCGGCGGCGCATCTGGATGCAGTTCATGCTTCAAATGCCACTTTAATCCCAGCTTTCATCTTCCCCACTCACTTTTCGATAAGGGGGATAGGTCTGCTGGGAAGGGGAGGAGCAGCAGCAGCGTCTTTCCTCCAGCTGCCTGCCCTCCACCCCATCCCCAAAAGCAACCCTTGCAGCTTAACCACTTAGCAGCCAAAAGGCTACTTTGGCCAGCAAATCATAGAATCACAGGCTGGGGTAGGTTGGAAGGGACCTTAAAGACCATCCACTTTCACCAACACTGCCATGGGTAGGGACATCTTTCACTAGACCAGGTTGCTCTAAGCTGTTACGGACCTTGCTTTCCAGCCTTTTTTTTTTTGTGTGTGTGTGTCTACAGCTTGTCAACATGCTACCAGGTTCCCTCTGAAGCACATCTTGCCCATCCTTCAGAGGAACCCAGGACCTTCACTGGAGATTTAGGACCTTGCTTAAGCAGGACCCTAATGCCAAACATATAAGCAAGCTCTTCTACTCAGTTATGGGTCTGTTCAGAAGTGCCCTGCTGAATCAGGGTTCCACAAAAAAGCTTTACTTCTGTGCTGCATAGAAATAAGGGTTGCAAACAAGCCCAGACTCCACCAACCCACGTACATTTTGCTAAGTGTCCTGCAGAGAGGAGATGCCCACCCTGTGCAAGGTGTTGGATATGTGCAGAGCTGAGAGCCTAAATCCCAAAGGAAGCTGGAAGAAAGAAATAGCTGGGCTATGTAATTTAGCTGTGGAGACTGCTACAAGGTGTAAGGGCAAGACAGTCAAGAGCAAATCAGATCCTGAACCTCCCCTACATTCAAGGGGGTCCTTAGAGTATGGAGAGATCACATTTTAGTGCTCTAAAGTAGGTGACTATTCCTCCTGCCTGACAATATGCATTTAAACACCCTATGGAGAGATTACTCTGCTTCTCATTATGCATGAAAGGTGGATGAGTGTTCTCAACCATCTTTGTAGTCCATGTCATCTCCAGAGGGCATCCCTTAATGTTTGTGTTGGATGTCTCTCTTTGGAGACGGTGAATCACCATCTGGAAGGTACTCTTCCCCCTGACGACATGCAGGGCAGTGAAGACACTGGCTCCAGCAAGATATCTAACTTGAAGATGTCCAAATTTAAGTGAGTCTGTATAAAAGGTGGCATGGGGAGAGCCTAAAATGATAATGCCTAAGACAGTGGAATGGGAATTAGACATGGCTCAGAAGAAGGAACAAAACAGGGACCTCTTTTCTTGATTTACCCACCTAACCCTGAGACTCTCACCTCAACACACAATACCCTACAAAAGAGGCTGTTGCTGACATTGCATTTTATTGTGCCTTTTCTTTTACAGAAGATGCTCATTTGAGGCCAGCCCACACACCCTTATTTTGTGCACAGCTTCAAACCTGAGCCGAAAAAACAGATCACTCATCAAGGACATGAAACCAGATGGGTGTTGGAGGGACTTGTTTGTTTATTTTGCAGTAAGCAACTAATTGATTGCTTGCTTAGGCAAAGAAATGAGATAGCGATGTTTTCACTTTGTTTGCAGTGACATTACCTCCAAGGAAACTCGATCCAGACTTGACCACACTCCCTGGTATTTCTTCACCCTCCTCCCCACTCCCCCACCTCATTTTTAACACCCTTAACGAAATCCAAAGGTTAAAAGGTCCACAAAAAAAACATGTTATCTGTCAAGCATCCCCTGTGGCTGGAGATTGGCAGCATTATCTTAGCTGCCCTCCCTACTGCTCTCAGCTCCTACTCAGCACGACCAGTGGTCCCGGTGGGAGAGTTTCCCAGCGTGGTAGGAGCTAATGCTAGAAACTACATTAAGTGGCTCATGTGAGCGTTCAAGTGTGTGCCGTTCCTTTGGTATCAATGAGGAGAAGAAAAAAGGAGCCTAAATCATGCATATTTTGGAAAGAAGATGGAGACATATTGTTAGCACAAGCCCCTAGTACACACACTTGAAATCAATGAATGCCTGGAGAAACGCAACGCTTGCTGCTCTTTAAATGGCTTTACAGTGTGCCTCAAATAGCAATTGCAAAAAATGCATAACGGACCAGCATTGCCTACAAAGACTTTAAAAATGCAGAGAGATAGCCAGGTACTTACATCCATTTTATCCCATAGCAAAGCCCCGTCTGCAGAATCAAAGACAGAAAACCAGCTAAGAAAAATTGCGGACTCGGCTTCATTTTCTCCAACGTCCCCCAGTTGCCAAAGGAAATCAGCTTCTCCAAAGGAAAAAAAATTAAAAAAAATAAAGGATTTTTCCTAATTTTCTGCGCAATATATTTCCCTGCAGTTTGGGTGTTGCTCCTCCTTGGAGATGAACAACCTGAAAGGAGAGAGAGAAGGAGCACGAGCTACGGTTAACTCTGAAGTTTAGCGAGTCGTCAGGAGAGAGAGATCTATTATCCAAATTGCAAAGGAGTGGTTTATGAATCACGAAAAAGTTTGGATTATCCCCTCTCAGTCCCCTCCCTCGCCAAGCCTCGATACAACCTTTCAGTCAACAGACAGACAAACCGTATGGCTTGAATTACACCCTGAGTTATGGTCTGATTGTGTGTTTCCATTTAACCCTGCACATGGCAAGACTTCATTCGCTGCTTCGCTCTTACCTCCCCCCCCCCCCAAAAAAAAGGTTTGTGTAACTGCTCGGGAAGAAGGGAAAAAAATAAATAAACCTTGAGACAAGCCCAAATCTTCAGCTATTCATCTTTCCCTTCCTCCTCTCCAGATTTCAGGGAGGGAGGGGGAGGGGGAAGGGGTGTTCCCCTTTTTTTCTGCAGAGAAGACAAGTTATAAAAACTGCATTTCCTGACTCCACGCAGGTGCCCATGCCCTGCAGATGTTTCGGTCTGATCTGTTACAACAAATGTGTTTTGCTCTTTCCTTTTTTCTGCTTTCCTTCTCACCTCATTAACTCTGCTTCTCACTTCTTCCAAGTCCTTGGGCACCTGGCGCTCACGGAAAGGGCTGCAACTTCGTAAACAGAAAAATCACATTTCTGTCTCTGGGGAGCAACCAGGAGACAAAAACTCTCAAGGATTTCACCTCCCTCTTTTTTGTTGCTGTTTTTCCCCTTTCTTCAGTCCAAACAAATAAACAAACCAGGTGCAGGACTTAAATTCTTAGAGGGTTCCTCTCTGTCTCCGGGGCACGGCTTGCTTATTTTAGCAGTGGTATTAATGGCAGTTAAATGGGTTTCCCTTCAGACACTGCTCCGAGCTGCTCTTTGTGGTCTTTGCGGTGGTTTCCCACCCCACGAAAAAGCCGATAATAAAATAAACAGAAAAACCTGCCCGCCACATTGCGCCTCTGGAGTCTCACAGCCCATCAGATGGCACACTGGCATCCCTATGCCCTGACCACGCAGCCCCCACCACACCATCCCCTTGAACGGGTTTGGGATGAGACCAGGAATGGCTGGAGCTGTCAGCATTGCTTCAGGGAACTCCTTACCCTGGAAAAAACACATCCCACCTGCCACCCAGCTCTGGATCTATCCCAGCTGCAGCTTGCTGCCTTGATGCCCCCATTAGGGGAGAAATTGGCTTGCAGGGAGAGGAATATTTCTAGGTGTTTTCTCTGCCATCTGCAGCCTATTTTTCCATTCAGGCTACATTTTTGACTATCCCAACCCCAGTGCCTGGTGTAAAGGGTTACTAGAGAAGTGCTGTTATTACAAAGGATTTTAATAACCTCTGGGGGCAAGTTCCCGGCTCCCTTGAAGTCCGAGACAAAACTCCGACTGACTACAAGGGAGGCAGGATTTCATCGCCACTGGTTGTTTTTCTTTAATGCCCGCTCCGATTTGGGTTTGATGTGTCCCTTGAAGGCAGTGTTCCCATGAGCATCCAGGCGTACTTCTTGTTTCAGGGTATTTCACTATCTTTTCATCTCTGGAAGCTCTTTGCTTCCCGACCCTCCACGAGCACACTGGAAACCTTCAACCCTTAATCCTGCCTGTGCCTTTTAGTGTCCATTTAGATATTTCAGACCTCTTATCTCCCTCCCATGAGTCGCTGAACAACACTAGAGTTAGGTGTAAAATGTCTCAGATGGTCTAAAACCCTCTTGCTAATCCTGACTGGCCAACATCATCCTCTGCTTTGTCCCCCTGACTTGAAAAAGTCACAGTTTGGGGTTTTCTTCCCCTCCCAGGGGGAAAAGAAGTGATCTAACCACCCCATCCCCACCCCAAGAGCTGCAGGCTTGGCCTGCAATTGCACCCCCATTATTTGGGGAGGTAATAATGCCTTTCTCCACTCAGTCCAGCACAGGTTACATTTGCAAGAGGAATTTGAAAGGGGAGGGGAAGGAGAGGGAGACTCTTTGGGGCAGACGTGATGTTTACAGCTCTGGAGAGCTCTGGGTCACTGATCAAACCAGCAGCAAGTGGCCTGCGGACTCCTAAAAACTGGAGCAGTTTTTAACTCAAAGCTCTCTTTTCTCATCACCCCGAGGCTGTTTGCAGCCAGCCCCCTCTTGCACACCAAAAACACTTCCATCTGACAACTCCCGAGAGTCCAGTCCCGGGGGTGGGAATAGACAATTTGAACTATAGATGAATGTATTAGTATCCACCTCTCATTTTTCCAACTTTCCAAGGAAGAAAGGCATCCACCTGACCCTGCTGCCAGCCTGCAGCTCTCCCCTGGAGCATGGTAGCAGGGTTTAGGGATAGTGCATCCCCAAATGACCTGCAGTGGGGATGGGGAGCAGGGACCAGGAATGAGGGGTGGTGGGGCTGATTCCAGTGCCCTGGTCTCCCCTTTCCATGCATCTCCCAGGTCTCCCTTCTTCCTTGCAGCCCTCCACACCTCTCTGCCACTGCAATCTCTGGGTGTCCCCACTACCCTGCAGTCTTTTTTTGGTCTCCTCTCTCCATTGCCCCCCCCTGCATCTCCCCTCTCCATTGTAGCCCACGGTTCTTAGGTGTCCCTATACCCTTCCACATGTCCATCTGTCCGTCCACCACTCCCTGCCCCCAGTTTTTAGCCCCCGGTTCTCCCCTCTCACTTCAGCCCCCAAGTGTCCGGTCTCCCTTGCAGCCCTTGGGTCCCCCCACTCTCCTGCACCCCACC